AAAGGGGGGTTTAGCTAAAATTTTTTTTTTTTTTTTTTTTTTTCCCTGGAGAAGTAAGACAAAAGCACATTGCAATACCAGATGGTGATATACCAGATTCAGAGCTGGCTGTGCTGGCAGTTGTGTGGTCCAAACTAATCACATCAGTGGTGTGAATTTCTAGTGTTGAAGAGAAAGAATACAATATGCGGTTGTGTTACTGGTTTGTCTGACCAGCATGGCAGCCCTGGCCGTGGTATGCTGAAAGAGATCGGCCGAGAAGTCCTGGGGCTTCTGAGGAAACTAGAACTCCACGATACGAGAGGGAAGTTTTTGCATAAATAAGTAACTCGTTGAAAGAGGTATTACCACAGTGAAGGTAGATTATCAGTGGAGTTACACTGATGTTCAACATACTTTCTGTTGCAGGTTGTTCTCAGCAGGAGGGTTGGACTAGATGACCCACAGTGGTCCCTTCCAACCCCTATTATTCTGTGTGATTCTGTGTGATTCTGTGAGAAAGCAACAGAAGAAAGAGGGAAATCGTACTGGGGGGCCGGAGGAGGAGGGATTTTCCGCGGCGGAAGCAATGCTCGTGGGCCTCTCCCAGGGCCAGACCAGCAGCTCCACTGCAGTCAGTGATCACAAGCCGCGAAGTTTTTCCCGCTAGCCATGTGGCACATGGGGGCAGGAGATGACAGCCAGTTCGGCTCCCGTGAAGGACCCGGGGCCTTGTTTGGAATCAGAGAGGCCTCCTGCTCCACCGCCTCCCTCAGCTATCCAGGCCGTTAATCCAGGCATCTATCAGGCAAATAAAGTACCTTCTTCTGGAAGGTGCCTAATTCTTAACAGACACAATACTCACAAGTTATCATTTCTATGTAAAGAGATGGGAGAAGCCAAGTCCGGTACATTTACCTTTATTTCTAACTACTAATGATTAAAGGCAGTTGGAATAAATCCTTAATATTTTTTCATATCAGTAAGACATATTAATAACTTCAAGACCTTCTTCCAAATATTTAATGTTTCTAGACTGTTACCAGAACTTCTGAGCAATGCAGCAGGTCCCAGCTATATGAGGCAACACCACTCGCAGTCACGCATTTAATAACTTGATTTGTTCTAGCTCTTTGAGTAATTCTAAATTCAAACTGACTACAGAATAAATACCAAGTGCAAGTCAGTCACACAAGGAATAAAGCAAATTTATTCTGTCTTCACAAAATTCACAAACATGCTTTCTCTATATAATTGAGCCAAAAAACTCTTTTTTAAATTATAAGGTAAAAACTCCTAAAAATAGCCCTAGCTATGAGAAAATCTTTGACAATAAAGAAATAATCTCAGCCCCAACTGCAGATGCATTACAAGTTTGCAAAATACTTTAAAAAATCCTCTGAAAGAGTACTTCCCAAAGCAGACCCTCAGTATGGTCAAATGAATAAGAGGTATAAACACGAACAGGAAGCCCCAGGCTTCCTTATGATCCCATTTAATTAAAGAAACAAAATAAAGGTTCTCAAATTTTCACATCTGCAGGGCTTGATAATAAACACCAAAGCATCATGATCAGTATTCTTGCCTACCAGGGTTATTGACAGGAAATTGCTACAATCTTATAGTGAGAACTCAAAGAAAAATTGATGCAAATTACCCCTGCACCAGAACTGCTCCTCTCTCCCATGAGCAACACATTAGTGCTGGTCTCTCTCAAAATAACAAACGAAGGTCTTCCGAGAAAAGCTTAACTTTATATAACAATGATCTTAATTTTGATACATTTCGCAAATTCTTGTAAAAGCTACAAAGTTCAGAGATTACATACTCATTCAGGAGAGAAATAATCAATTTCTTTTTCTGCTACAGGAAACTCCCAAGACTACTACTTGTTCTTTAGCCAAACCTAATCCTACTAGGAATATAAACTGGCATAGTAATATGTATATATAAGACTGATGCTTCCATGATGAGTTGTAAATTGTCCTTCCGTGTCTTTTATTTGAAGCATCAACCTACAATTTCATTCCC